ACCTGCCTAACAAGTGCAAAGCCCTGATATCAAAGCCCCAATACCACACACACACACAAAGCAAACAACAGCAGGAAAAAAACCCTAAGGCAAAGATAAGTCATAAATAAAAACAGGAAATGAAAGTGAAGACATCACTTAAAGAAATAAAGAAGCATAAAAGAGACAACAATGAAGAATTATATGTCAACAAGTTAGGTAGCCTAGATCTAACCAGTGTAGGATACAAGTTACTAACAGAATTGACACATGCAGAAATAGAAATTTACAATAGCCCTAGAAGGAAATATTGAGTTAATAATCAAACCCTTCCAATAGAGAAGTCTTAGACTCAGATGGCTTCTCTAGTGAATTCTACAAAACATCCAAGGGAGAATTAACACTACTCCTATTGAACCCTTCCAAAAATAACGTAGGAAAGAACAGTTCATAACTCATTCTGTGAAGCCAGCACTGCCTGGTACCAAATTAGTTACTTGCTCCTTTTAGGACTCTGCTCTCCCTTATCAGATACAGCAACACACACACACACACACACACACACACGCACACACCCCCCCACACACACACGCACACACACACACACACATGCGTGCGCGCGCGCGCACACACACACACACACACATGCGCGTGTGCGCACACACACACACACACGCACACACACACACACACACACGCACACACACACACACATGCGCGTGCACGCGCACACACACACACACACACACACACACAGCCTTATTCTCTCACCCCAATTTACTTATTTTACTCAGTACTTATCTAACATCCCCTGACACTTGGTGTACAGATTTGCTTGGTTATTATTTATTGCCTGTCTTCTTCCACGGAAGTAAGAGTTCTATTCTATCAGAATACTTGTTGCTTGGAGTTTTTTTCTTAGTTTACTTTTCAGTATCTAGGATATTGCCTGCCATGTAGGTGCTCAATAAAAACTTTTTGAATGAATAAACAAAGTAATCCTTTCACTGAGAAAATGGAGTTCAAACAATGGAAAACTCCAAGAAACAGCTGGCTAGAAACAAATGAACTTCCTAAGACTGGAAGATAAGTTAGAAAGTGTGTGTCCAGAAAACAAAGGGGAGTAAGGGCTCTGAAGTTAAGGAATGGTCAGCAGTACCAGTTAATACTCAGAAATCAAATACAATGAGAACATGGTGCTCACTGTATTGAATCGCATGAAGATCACTAGCTCATCACCTCTTCAGAAGAGGCATATGAAACCTGATTGTCAAAATTATTCATCTGGAAATATAAAGGACCCCTCTCCTCCAAAAAATATAAAACAAAAGTGTTTTCCGACATAACTTAATAATGAAAGTGTAATCTTTTCAAAGAGAACAATCACAATGTGGAAATAAAAAACAGATCGCTTTGATAGATGTGCAAAAGCCAGAGGCTGCATCTTCACAACTCAGTTGGATCAAAGGACACACTTGGAATGGACAGTTTTCTTCTTGCCAGGATTCCACGGTTTTCTCACTAGAAACAGCCATCACCACATCTACAGTTTCAAAGTAGAGCAAACGATTCACAATCCTCATATAATGTGAAGTCAGCAGAATAACAGCCAGTCTGTGAAGGCAGGAGAGAAACTTGCCAAAGTACATTCTTTGTGGATGAGGGAAAGTTTTCAGCAATTGCAAAAGCAGGTGTTGACACCATATTTAGCTGAAGTTCAGCCTTCAACTCCTTTTCCCCGGCTTTTTTCCGTGCCAACACGTTGCTCCTCATAATCATTTTAGCAATGGTCACTATCACCTTCTCCCATGACTTCAGTCTCTCCAGTTCGGCTGGAAAACTATCAGCCTTGACGGTGCAACTTCTCTCTCTTCCTCCTAAACTACTATTGGAAAACTTACTAAAAGAGGGAAGAAAGATGGGAGGGGTGACATTGATCAAGATACAGTGTAGTTAGAAGCTGATTTGTTGAATTGCAATCCCTTTGTAAAACTACTTAAAGATAATAAAATAAAAAACGGAACAAGTCTTCTTTAGGTCTACCTGTGAAGACAAAAACTACCTTTGAAAATTCTCTTACAGTTTATTTTGCATGCTCCCTTAAGAAGCAAAGAATTTAGAGTTGGGGAGTAGAATCTGTGGGAGGTTAGGGTTGGATAGTCGGTGGGGACTCGAAGACCTAGTGAAGTTCAGACTGACAGAAAAACTGCCAAACCCAGAGACACGTGTGTGGTCCACACAATCCCCACTCCCTACATGAACGACCTCCAACCCAGCTGTCCCTCATTCCTGGAACAGGTGTTGAACATGCTCAGAGAGAGAGAATCAGGAACCTCTAATTTCCTAGAGGTAAGCATTCCCACCCTTCCCCTATCCAGAAAACAGCCCATCCTGGGAAACTCCTCAAGGGGAAGATGGTAGAGTTGGGTGGTAGAATGTGAAGTCTGGCCAATACCCTGATTATCTGGGCTCAGGGGAGAAGACCACTGCTATAAATTCAGGAATTTGAATTACCCATAACTGCTTCTCTGAGTGCTCCTGGAAGCCCTAGTTCTTTCAAAATTAATCAACCCCCATGGGGTTGAGAACGGGTTATAGTTTGTTAAGCAAAACACAAGACTCCATCTTGGTAGGGCTTGCAGCCCTGTTAACTTACCTACTTCAACTTGAAGGCCACTAGTTTCACCCAGTGGAGTTGTTAGGAGCCACAGGTGATATAAATTAATTCTATCTAAACCTCAGCCCTGTTCACACAGAAAGCCAGGGTTGAAGGATTCCATTGGCATCCACTTGGAACTCAAAGGGCTAATATATTGCTCATAGCTCAACTCATCTAAAACTGAAAAAGTGAACTTGCCCTGGATTGACAGAAACGGGTTCAGAGGCTGAGTCAGCACCCAGGATTCCTGGTGACCAACAAACAAAGTTATAGCTTACTGGACATTGCACAAAGTAATAGTAGATTGTAGCAACTCAAGTCAATAAATACTGATTTCAGACTTCCAATTTTATTCTGATAAAGATAGAGTGATTTTTAAATTCAAAGAATGAATTGAGATTCCTAAAAAGTATGTTTTGTGAGTGTAAGGGTGATTTAACTGTTTTCCTTCTTTTCATGGTAACATCGAAGTATCTGTGGTAGTCATTGTTTTGGAAAGGCACAAAGCCTTGAAGATGCATAGGACTGACTCTCTACTGATATTCTAATATTAGTAATATTAGAAAACCACTAATTACCATTTATCATGCCTTTACTGTGTGCCAGGCTGAAATGGTTAGGTATTACATAATTTAATTTGTCACCAGGTCCACTGATGTTTACTGTTTCTCAACTTTACAAGTAAAGAATCAGATTCAGAGTGGTTAAGCCTAAATACCTAAGATTTCCACAGTGGTAAGTCTAGGAGAGGCAGGATTTTAACCAGCTGCATGTGAGCCCATCGCCCATGTTCATCAATGTTCTATTCCACAGCCTTCCTGGAGAGTGTTTCTCACAGGAGAATTCCCCAGGAGCACCCGGAGCTGTGTCCCTCCTCGCTGCTTTTCTATCTTCAGTGAGTGGCTTCTGCCGCATGGTATAAGATGGCTGTTCATATTCAGCTTTTGGGTCCTCATTCCAGCCAACAAAATGGACGTGTTGAGGATGCTCCCTGAAAAAATGGCACCTGACACTATTACATCCCAGTAACCAAGACCACGTGGACCCTCATAGCTGCAAGGGATGCTGGGGGAGACGATCAAATTGAAGGAAGATAAATACCTAGCTAAAACAACAACAACAGATTATGTTATTAAGGATGAATCTGGAGGACAACCTTTAACAAATGAACATAAAGTACTTAGCTCATTGCCTGGCACGTACAAGCTAATTGTTATTCCTAATTATTGACCTATATCTGGCATCCTATAAAACACTTGCAGGAAATCATACATTCAAACCAATCACAGAAAAAGGGGAGGAGAAGGAAACAATATTTTTATGTGTATGTGTTGGTACTGGGGTTTAACCTCATGGCTACCCATTACTCCCTTGGCTTTTTCTAACAAGACTGTATGCTCTACCAGTTGAACCACAGGTCCACTTTCTGTATTTTGCTGGTTAATTGAAGATAAGAGCTTTTTACATTTTTTTTTCAGTCTGGACTGACTTAGAATCATGATCCTTAAATCTTAGGCTCCTTAGTAGCTGGTATTATAGACATGAGCCACCAGTGCCCAGCTAGAAGGAAGTATCTTGTAAATTCCTGTGGTGCCTCCTTTTCACTCCACAGAGGCATAGCATCCCAAGGTCCATGTGGAGAGGAATAGATACCTTGGTTGGCATCCTCAGGAGAAGCAGGCTCTGCACAGGCCCACAGGGTGACAGTCTTACAGGCGACCATTGGTAAATAATTTCTCCCGCAGTAGTTAATGGAAACACAGTTTTCATTACAGTAAGGAAATTGAAATCTCAGTCACCCTCTGTGAGTTCCCTCTGACCATCTTTCATTTCTCATAAGAAGGTATGTATTCATTCTCCTTATGATTAACCTTTGTCAGGAAGGCTAGGGGAAGCTGGGTAATTGAAATCCCCAGGAAACCTCCACAGTATCCCATTTAGCAATTTCTCTCAAGCATCCTATTAGACCAGGGCTCTGAAGGAGGTAGAAAGGAAGCATTTTTTTTTAAATATTTGAGGTAGAGATATTATCTGATAGAGAAAATTCTAGGTGGCCAAAGGGAGTTGAAAAAAAAATGATGGGCATGCAGTCAGGATGAGAGGAGGGGAAAAAAAAGAGAGAGACAGGAAGGCAAAATGGCACCAAGGCCCTTATGACTATGCATTTCCCAGTTGACTACTTCCTTGGGTAAGATGCACGTAAGCCATCAATATTTGGAATGCCTCCTGCTGTGTGACCATCCCCAAATTCCTAAACTGCAACTCCCCCTTCCCAAGGTTTTGAGGAGGTGGGGCTTTGGGGAGATGATCAGAAGGAAGGACAGAGCTCTTGTGAGATAAGTTAAAGAATAAAGAGAATCCAATAAAAGAGAATGTAGAGAGGGCCCTTGTCCCTTCTACCACTGGAGAACACATTCAGATGAGGCCATCTATGAAGCAGGCCTTTACCAGACATCAAATCTGACAGCACCTGGGGATCTTGGGCTTCTCAGCCCCCAGACTAGGATAAGTAACTTTCTGTTGGCTATAAGCTACCCAGTCCAAAGCATTTTGCTGCAGCAGCCCAAACAGACTACGAAATCTCCCAACATGAAATAGTTTTCAACTCAGTGCAGCTGTCTGAATCGCAATCATTCTGTGGCTGTGCACATTTTCTCCCTAGTTAGAGAAAAAGAGAACTGAGCAAAGACGGTACAGGGCTGCTGCCTCTGAATTCTGGGTCACGTCTCAGCTCCGGGTCTCTCTGAGGCCCTCACTTCCCTCCTGTCGCTTGCTGTCAGCTTCTCCCTTGCAGATTGTTATTTTTGTACCACCCACTCGAGGGAGGAGGCAGGGAACGAAGAGATTTGTGACAGAGGGAACATCTGCTCAGCCATAGTAGTCAAGGCATTCAATCTCATCATTTTGTTGAGAAAGCAAAAGAGAAGTTGACATCCTCTAGTGGGAGAGGCCCTCCCTGCTTACAGCCTATGGTTTTTGTCTCTTCCCTGTGGTTTTCTGTCTCTTCCCTGTGGTTTTCTGTCTCTTTTGTCTTATGATCAAATGGTTTTCCAGAGAGCTGATACTGTACCCACATCTGAAAGTAGTTTCCAGATGGGGGAAATCAGGGTAAAATGAGGAATGAGGGAAAGTTAGGTTTTTGTAGGCAGCCAGAATCAAAAGCTTCCCATAGCCTCCTGTGCTGTGTCATGTCCCAGGCATGATCAAATCCATGTGAAGGGTGAAGGGGACATGCATTTAAACCATTGTGGAGAGCAAAGTATCTTTCTAGCAAGGAGAGAACTTCCATATCCCCCATTTACTCAGGCATGCATCCTCCAGTGGTTTTTTTTTGTTGTTGTTTTGTTTTTTGTCCATCGTGGGGCTTGAACTCTGGGCTTGGGCGCTGTCCCTGTGCTCTTCAGCTCAAGGCCAGTGTTCTACCACTTGAGCCACAGCACCACTTCCAGTTTTCTAGTGGTTTATTGGAGATAAGAGTCTCACAGACTTTCCTGTCTGGGCTGGCTTTGAACCTCGATCCTCAGATCTCAGCCTCCTGAGTAGCTAGGATTACAGGCGTGAGCCACCGGCGTCTGGCTCCTCCAGTTGGTTTTGCTGTCATAACTTCTTTTATGGAGAGAAACTTCTTTGCAATGATTGACAGGTACATGGGCCCTCCAGCTAATATGTCTAATATGTATGAGTCTCGTGGAGAGTAATCAACACTGCAGGACCACTGGATGGGATTTCCTGTAGGGGATTACTTCATTAGTTGGGATCCAGTTCCTCTTCAGGGCCTATAGCTCCTCTTTGGTGCCCTGTCATCTTGTTTTGTCTGCAGGAATGTTCACAGGAAGACTTGGAAAACAAAAGAGTCTGACTTCACTCATGTTCTCCCTTCACAGCTAACCCATGCGATGCTCCCCTTCAGCCCCAAACATGGAGCCCCCATCCGTGCTCACTGGCCTACTATGGGAAAGGCAGGTCAGCAGTGCCAGGGTGGGGAAAGGTTGTGGGTGGAGGACATATGGCTTATGAGCAACCTTTGAGGTCATTTACCCTTGCACTTGACAAGGTTGCCCAGGGAGCCCACTGTGTCTATGCGATGCTAGTCTGCTTTGTACTCAACAGGTTCCCCAGTGCCACAGTTCCCACATCATGTACAGATGCAAAAGTACACTCAACTATAGACCTGACAGAGAAGGAGAGACAGCCATGTCTTTTTATGGCTCTCTAGTGCTTCTATCAGTCTTTTCACAATAGAGGATAGTTGAGTGGATCTCAAGAAGAGGGAGGAAGAGGCAGGGCAGAGAGTCAGGAGAACAGAGCACAATGGCTGGAAGAGTAAGCTACAGATAAGTAAACCTGAAATAAATACAAATCTTAGTCTGTGAGGGGAAAACTATATTAGCTAGTCTAAAGCCAAGCTGCTACAACAAAGCGCCCTAAGATACCATGGTAAGGTAACTTCTCGACCTATAACAATGCTGATGTGTGGCTGAGGATGTTCTGATCTTTACCATGCAGGAATGTTGGCTCCTTCCAAGTGGTTGTTTTACAATCCCCTCGGGATCTTGTCAAACAAAAGTCACTATCACATTCAGATTTTAGCCAATAGCTAAGCAACATACCATGGCTGTCAGACTCAGGCTGGAAGTGGCATCATTATTTCTAGTTACTTTTAAAGACTTGGTTACATGGTCACATCTAGCTGCAAAGGATGCTGGGAGTAGAATCTAGATGGGCAGTGTGAAACACACAAAGGATGGGACAGCAAATCTGGATTCAATTCTATTCAATCCTAGTGCTTTCCACTGTTCCTTTGCTGTGTTTGAGAGCAAGTTATATAGCCTCTTCTGCTTCTACTTACTCACTTGTGTAACCAGCTCTATCTTGTTATTTCTTTCCATGAGTATTTCCTAGACACCTACTAAATACCAGGCACTATTTTCAGTCCTGGAGATCCACCTGTGAGCAAGACAGGCCATAACTCTGCCCTTTAGTGATTCATAGATTCACTGTGAGACTAGTATTTCCAAAACAAGGTTCCAAGAACCTTTTTATTCTCTTTCTAAATCAACGTTCATTGTCACTCCTAATTTTGCATTCTTTTAAAATTTGTTTTTCTTTTCAAAGGGACTTGGATTTATCTGTACTTCAAATCACACAAAACCTGGCTCTCCTTTGGTCTTCATCTGGAGCTCATCTCTGCATTATGGGAAAGAAAGTAAACAAGTTAAACTTATATCAGGTATACTTGTATCTGGTGGTGATGGTGTTGGCATAAAAACCAACATGGAGTTAGGAGAGAGAGCTAATTTTATTTACTCTGTTCTAGATCCTCTCTAAAGAGGTATCATGTGAGTAGAGATGGAATCATGAGCCTTGTTTCTACTTTTTACTGCTGTTAAGACTCCTTAATGCACCCTCTTGTAAATAAGTCTTTGTGTATGCTTCAGATTAGCTCTTAGATTCTATTTCTGGTAGTGAAGTTTATGAGTCAGAATAACAAATGTTTTTAAAGTTCTTGAAACCACACAGCAAACGCTCCCTTTCCATTGAGGCTTCTCATTAGAGTTACAAAAGGAAAAAAATGACAAAGGCCTAGATTCCAAAGCACTTTCAATATATATTCAAGCTTCTTCAAAGAAGTTTTTTTTTAATGCAGGTCCTGGGGCTTGAACTCAGGTCCTAAGCACTGTCCTTGGGCTTCTTTTGCTCAAGGGTAATGTTCTAGCACTTGAGCCCCATCTTCCACTTGTGGCTGTTTTTGTGACGTAGGGTCACATGGACTTTTCTGCCCAAGCTTGCGTTGAACCATGATTCTCAAATCTCAGCCTCCTGAGTAGCAGGCTAGCTACAAAGACTTTTAAGGATTACTTATATCCAGATGGTCTGAGTTTCTCCAAGACCAAGGTCGTACCTAGCCACTTTCAGCTCCTACTTCCAAATGCCTATCTACACACTCTTCCCCTAAAATTTTCTTTCTTTCTTCCTTTCTTAGTCGTGGGGCTTGAACTCTGGGCCTGGGCTCTGTCCCTCAGCTCTTCAGCTCAAGGCTAGCACTCTACCACTTGAGCCACAGCACCACTTCCAGCTTTTTCTGCTTATGTGGTGCTGAGGAATCAAACCCACCGCCTCATGCATGCAAGGTAAGCACTCTACTACTGAGCCACCTTCCGAGCCCCATATAGAGTTGTTTCTTAAGTCAAGAACCTTCAGTGTGATGAGCTTGGTGATGAGCACATTCCATTCCCCCCTTTAGACTTGTGGAAAACAAAGCCCACCAATTATTGACACCTTGCTTGATGCCTCATGGTGTATGTGTGGCCAAACCAAGATGAAACCTCAGTCTCTTGGGTCTTGTTTCTGCAGCCAGAACCAATGGCAAATGTAACATGCATGTGGTGTTTGTGATGACTAAACTGAGGACACAGGTTTAGAATAAATACCTGGGGACACAGCCTGCCAGATTCACCTGCCTCATAAGTGGTAGCAAGTATTAATTAGCTGGTAAATGTACAGGCCATGGGACAGTGCTGGGACATTGTCAATGACATGAAATGCGAATGGTGGCTACTACTTTGGTGGCAAAGTGAGGAACATGCCCCGAGGCCAGATGTTGAGCCCTCTGGGACAGAGTGCAGGCAGGGATAGTGGGACAAGGTCTTGGGTCCTATTTTAGACCTGGACAGAAACCTTGGTGAGAAGGGACAAGCCATTAAATGTTCAGAATCCCAAGAGCTGAAGAAGGAGTCACACGAGGCCACCTCCAGGCCTCAGTCAGGACAGCAGGAGAAAGCAGCCCAGCTGGGGGCCTGTGCAGAGCCCAGGACAGGGTCAGCTTTCATGGGCTGCCAGGCCTGTCCGGGGAGGCCAGCTGCCCAGCCCAAAGGCTGAGGCCACCCTGCCACGTGAGAACTCGCTTATTCCTTTACCTCTCTCCCTTTCTGGGCTTCATTCCAGGCATGGAGGAAAACAGCAGTTAGGGAGAGGAGATGAGCAGAGTGAGAAGGAAGGTCCATGCCTCCTTTCCCAGGGCAGACTTGCAGGATGAGGTGACTCTCAGTCCAGGGAGGAGAAAAGATATAAGGCAGTTTCTGTATTTTAACCGTTATGTGGGAATTGGACAGGAAAGATGTAAATGGAGGCTGCTTTTTTTTTTTTTTATAACTCACAGATTTTTGTTTTATTGCCTCAATACAATAAAAAAGTCATAGGCTTGCCAGAGTCATCAAGAGGGGTAAAGAACTCTATGTGTACTAAATAAAACGGAAAGAGACAGTGAGAGGGCAACAAAACTTAGATCTGCCCTACTGCTTTCTTGGGGCACATGGACAATAAACAGATTATAGGTAGACAGACAGACAGATAAATAGTAGACAGATAGATAGAAAGACAGACAGACAGACAGACAGGCTGAATTTTGTTCCTAATTCTGCTTCACACTTTTTCAATGTCACTTAAACCTGATTTTAATTTGACAGTCATTTCAGCTATGTTACATGTATACTAGATAGTTTCCTAAATAACCACTTCCCACTAACAAGATCCACTGTAATTCTACTATTGAGTAGAATTCTACTCATGAGTCAAAAAGTAATTCTTGGGTGTCCTTTGCTTTTTCTCTTGTTGTAGTGGAGGTACTAGGACTTGAACTCAGGACTTCATCTCCTATATGTAAGTTTTACTTTCTAGAATCCTTCCACTCTCAAGAGCTCTGACAATACACATTATTAAGGTCAATATTTTGCAGAATACAACCTACACTTACTATTGCAACCACTGATTTCTAATAGCTCAGAGGACTACAGAGCCACACAATGTTTTTTTTTGTTGTTCCTTGGGACCTCTCTCCGCCCTCCACTGAAAGGTCATCTCAGTTTCACATCCTCACTTCTTGGATTGGGCAGCTTTTACTCACCAATATCTCTGTGGAGTGCTGGAGATAAAAGTTGAGGATCATTCCTGCCCCGATGTCACCTCCTGTGATTCCATGCATCTAGGATGACGGTGTGGCAAATGACAAGGATGATATTGGCATGGGATGCAAGGGCAGTGAGAAAGCAAAAATGCTATGGTTGGAATGTCACTACCAAAACTCATATGGAAACGAAATCCCTGTGGTCTGATTGTGGCATTTGGAGGTGAGGCACTCATCCAATGGGACTTGACTTTACAGGACAGACTAGAGCTCCAGGACTCAGTCTCTCCCACCACATGGTGTCCTCTGTTTTGTGCTGACCTAGGAAGGTCCTCTTTAGATGGAAAACCAGATCCATGCTTATGGACCTCTAGAATTTTGGGTGAAATAAATCTCCTTTCTTCATGTAGATAGATAGATAGACAGAGAGACAGAGGACAGACAGACAGACAGATAGATAGATAGATAGATAGATAGATAGATAGATAGATAGATAGATAGATAGATAGATAGATAGATATAGATAGATAGATAGACAGACAGAGGGACTAAATCTTGTTCCTAATCCTGCTTCATGCTTTTTCAATGTCACTTACACATGACTTGAACTTGACAGTCATTTCAAATATGTTACATGTATGGTTTCCTAAATAATTTCCTAAATAACTTCCCACTAACAGGATCCACTGTAATATCTTTGTTTTTGTTTTGTGTGTGATGTTCCTTGGGCTTGAACTCAGGGCCTGTGAAATGTACAGGAAAATGTGACTTCCATGAGCAGTTAATGTGTCTGCTGCTAACTGTGAATAGTTGAACCATGCAAGTTTTGAACTTAAAATGATTGAAGAAGGTTGCAGTGAGAAAGTGTCAAAAGATAGAAAGGGAAAGAGGGGATAATAAAATCTTGTGTGTCATGCACTGGACTTGGGCTATGGTATTATGCTTGGTAGTATATCTGTCTCTTAAATATGTCTCTTCTGGGGCTGGGAAGGTAGTTCAGTGGTAGAGTGCTTGCCTTGCATGCATGAGGTCCTGGGTTCGATTCCTCAGCACCACATAAGCAGAAAAATCTGGAAGTGGCGCTATGGCTCAAGTGGTAGAGTGCTAGCCTTGAGCTGAAGAGCTGAGGGACAGTGCCCAGGCCCAGAGTTCAGGCCTCCTGTCCAGTAAAAAAAAAAAAATATGTCTCTTCTGCAGTGAGATGGAGAATAAAATGGAAAGGATAAAGCAGGGGTTGGGAATATCAGTTGGATTGCCACTGTGCAGGTTCGTGATGAGGAAACAAAAAGTAGGGTAATTGGGGATGAGCATCAGAAATGTTAAGGAGACAGGAAGTAGAACTTCATGTCTATTAGATATAGAAGGTGGAGACTAGGATTTTCAGATTTCTGCTTTTGATGAACCTTCGTGCTGTCAGTCAAAACGAGGAAAATGGCTGGGCTTCAGTGAACCACACTTAGCATCCTGGCTACTCAGGAGGCTGAGATCTGAGGATCACAGTTCCAAACCAGCCTGGTCAGACAAATCTCAGAAATTCTTATCTCCAAAGAACCAGCAAAAAGCCAGAAGTGGAAGTGTGGTTCAAGTGGTAGAGCCCAAGCTGTTTAGTGAAAAAGCTGAGCACAGGCCAGCCAGCCAGGCCCCTTCTCTCTCCCTCCCACCCATCTCTCTCTCTCTCTCTCTCTCTCTCTTACTCTCTCCCTCTCTCTCTCTCTCCCTCCCTCCCTCTCTCTCTCCCTCCCTTTCCTCCCTCTCTCTCTCCTCCCTCCCTCCCTTCTCTCTGTCTCTGTCTCTGTCTCTCTCTCTCAGCATCTTGCCTCTTTCTCCAAACCCGTGTCCTAGAAGGAGCAGGGAAGGGCTGGGCTGGGTGTTTCCTTCTGCCACCCACCCACAGGCTGCTGTTGGCAAGTCAGCAAAGCTCAGCCAGCTTGCTGTGGACCTACCACACCCACCCCACCCAATCTCCAGTAAGAGCTTAAGTCAACAGCCGCAGAAAATGAGGCCATCTTAGGATGGGGAGGGGGAGGGAAAAAACTACCACAGCTGCTGCCTAATTGGCCTTCTAAATGGCCAGAGGCTGCCAAGTGCAGAAATGAACTAAATAAGCTCCCCCCCACCCTTCAGGGTGGAGTACAGGCTCCAGCTTTCCACCCAGGCCACACCCTCCCAGCTGGCTATTTATAATATCTAAATGCCAGATGGAGCCTGCCCAGGGAATGGAGAACTTGACAGAAAGCAAAGACCCCATAAGTCTAGTTTTCCCCTGGAGCAGATATATAGCTCTTGAGGTGACCGTTGGGGACCAGAGGGACCAGGCTGCAGTGAAACCAGGCTGCTGACCTTTTTACAGTCAGGCTTCCTAGCTGGCAGATGCTTTGCAGCCCACGCTGGGTGCTGGGCCCACGGAGGCTGTACCTGCTGGGTTAGGAGCAGGCACCAAAGTCCAGCAGTGGTGGCTCCCTGGACGGTGTGAATCAAAGCAGGAGTAGCAGCCAGATGTGAAGTTGGTCAGGCAGGACAGCTGGAGCTGGCACCAGGGCTGAGCAGAAGTTGGATCAAGGTGGTTTATGGAAGTCTAGAGATGGGGTAAATCCTGAGTTCTTCCTTGTGTGAAGATATACCTGTCATTAATCCTTCAGAGGCTTCCCTTCCTGATTTATGAAACACAAATTGTAATTAAACCAGCTAGATGGAGGTATTGAGGCCATTCCGTAGATATGAAACGCTCTAGAGTGGAAACAATGACCATTACCATAGGACTTTCTGCCTGGACTCAAAAGACCTCTGCTCCAATGCTTTCAGGGCAAAACTCGGTCCCTCGTTCCTGGGAGACTTGAAGGGCTCATCATGCCAGAACAAGCCAGAACAAAGGCCAGCTCCAGCAAACAAGCCATCTGAAATAGGCACCTGGAAAAATCCTACACATATCCTGCTTCCTAGACTTCAGTCTGCTGTGAGGGAGAAACCACAGGTGACAACCCCTAACCAGATCCTCCATTCCTGACTCACAACCTCCTGTCTAGGAATTATCTTGACCCTTTATTATGGCTTAGATAGAGCCCCCAAGGGCTCACAGGCTAGATGCTTGGTCCCTAATTCAACAGTGGGGCCTCTAGGAGGTGAATGAATCACGGGGCCTTTGTGAATGGATTATATGAATCCATTGATAACCTCATAGCTTAATGGGGCTGGGGGTAGGACTTGGTTGGGGGAGGGTGTCTCTGGTTCCTGACCTCCATGAGGTGAGTAGCATCTTCCCCCAGATACTTCTACCATCATGTGATGCCTCACACAGGTCTAAAAATCAACACCTGAACTCTAAGCCAGGATAAATATTTTCTCCTTTGATATTCTTTTTCTCGGGTATTTTGTCACAGCGATGACAAATGACTAACACATCCTCAGATCATATGGCATTGCCTTCCAGTGCTCCTAGATCAGACATCCTATAGAAAGATATTACCCACACATGTGTGTCATTTCAAATTTTCTAGTACCCACATAAATGAAGTTAGATTTTAAAGGTGAGGTTAAACTTAGTGCTCCTATTTTATTAATCCTAGTATACTTAAAATAGAGCTGTTTCAAAATATCGTCAGTGTAAACATTACTGTGTCATGCTGTATATTTTACAGAACAGTGCATCTCAATCTAGACAAGTGTAGTTCTAGTGCTGGTACCACCTGTGGCCAGGAGCTATATGGTGTTAGGCAGTGAAATCCCAGAGCATTGACATGATTTTCATTGTCTTGTTCAGGAGTCTTTGAGACCTGCTGCTCAGGGGCTCAGGTGTGGGGATTTGGGGAAGATGGCAGGAGCACAGTCCACCTGCAGGCCAGTCTGAGGAGACTGGTAGGAGGGGGCTACACTCTGAGGTAGAGCTAGGACGTGGAAGGTCCAGGCTCAAAACATCCATTGTGTTTCTCTCTGGGCTTCTAGTCTGTTCTTCCATGATCTGGTGTTAGTTTGGGCAGGGTTGCCTAACAGATGCTGTGAATAAAATAGAAAGCATCTCCCAGCCCCCTATAAGAACTGCAGGTCACTGGAACTGTCACTCTGTTGAGACCCTCTGAGAGACTGACTTTCACCTCCCTCCTGCCTCTCACAGCTGGAGGGAAGCCTTCCAGAGGAGCCTCTAAGGACAGAGGCTCAATGTAGGTGACAGAAAGCAAAAAGAACAAAATAGGAGACACTGGGCTCCAGCATCTGCCCTGTGCAGCCTTAAGACACTAGGAATCTTCCAAGGTGGCACACTCGGGATTGGGGCCTTTGAAGGCTCTGTGCACCTCTATATGTAAGATATAGCTTCCAAACATACCTCTTCAAAAGTACTTTATTTTGATGCTGTTAGGATCTGAGCTGAGCCTACCTGGGAAATTATGGCCTTTCCTCACTGGGGAGGAGCTTATAGTTGCAGCCACCTTTCATCTAAAATGAGGATCCCTGCCATAGGCAGAGAGTGCTAAAACCTTCTAGCAAAGCCTGGAAAGGGTGAGATGTGACTATCTGGCTGGTGCCTATCTGTCCTGAGGCCAGGGAGGGGAGCCATGGATTCATACGTGTCCCTATACTGCTCGGCTGGACTTGGAGTCTCTCCAAGCTTAGATAGAGTGGGCCTTTTGCCTCTCTTCCCTGCCCACAACACAGTCTGCCAAGCGAGTCAGTAATGAGAAGATCTGGGGAGTAAGAGAAGTTGCTGACAGGGACAGCCTGAACAAAATGACCCCTTCTGGTCAACCTGGCTGAAGCACAGCCCTGTCCTCAGGGAGAGAGCAGTTGACTGGGAATAGAGCCAGTGAGCATGGCTGGGCCCTCTGATTTTTGTCTAAGCTACTTTTATGTTCATCCAAAAAAAGACCACAAGGATGGATACCCTTGCCTCAGAAGCCATAATTTCCCAGAGAAATTGCTTTAATACCTTCCCTTGAAACATAATTCTCTCCCTTCTTATCATCATAAAAATCTCAAAAATTAAAAGGCTCAGGAAATGAGGTTCTTCTGATAACTGTTTTTGTTTTTCTGATTAACAGGAAACTCTTTTTATTTTAACCAGTGATGCTGAAAATCTTTGTCTGGTGGACCAGTGCCTGGATCTGTTTTTCATCATTCAGGACCCCGCTGGGCTGCAGAGTACTGTGACTCCAGATGGCATAGTCTGTAGACTGTAGCCCGTGAGCCATGGAGTCAAGCCTGAGCTCATGCCTGCCACTGGCATGGCATCTTGTTTCTGTTTGCTGTGAACCAGACCTTTTTATAGGAGCACATTTGTTACGGTGTGTCCCCTTTTCTCCCAAATCAAAGCACAACAATTCAATTTGAGGCTCAAGTTAGTTGGGTTCCTCTTGACGCACGGGTATAGCTGAGGTAACATGCTTTTGACTCCTCTGAAGTCCATGGCCATCTTTGACTATGGGATAACTTTAATACTCACTTGGCAAGGACATTTCCATTTAGCCACCCATGGAGTCACAGAGGTTCTAGTCATTTCTGTAGTGTTTGATTGCTTGAGTATTTATAAGAACTCTCCATTGGAACGGAGCTTCTCTTGTGTCTGGAGCCACTCAGATGATCACAATTATAAAATGTTTATTTTCTTAGATCAGTTTAAGCTGATATGGTTCTAAAGCATAATGAAAGTCAAGATAGTTTAGATAAGAATATGGTTGGGGGCTACATCAGATAAATCTATGGCCTCTCCCTTGATATGGCTAGACTATTATGTGGCTAGAATATTAATATTAATTCACATAACTCCTTCAAGAAGTGGGGTGCTTGGTTGGGTAGATGCTGCCAATCCCCTTGTTTCTTCTGGCTTCCATCTCAGGAACCTGGGGAGATGACGTTCAAGGCCACAGGGTCTACTTGCAGCCACCCAGCACACAGAAGCTCAAAGAAAATATTCTATACTAACGATTGTTCAGAGATTTAAAATAGAGCACAATCATACTTTTGAAACACCTTCGTACCACTAAGATAGTTATAATGGTAATAATAATACAATAATAATAATAATTGAAAAAGCCAGAAGCACAAATCTATTTGAGAGGCAACCTGGTAATGTTTATCAGACATTGATGATACATTTTCATTTGTTGAGTAGATGGAGGGCAATTTAATTTTAGGTGCTGTTCTAGGATGTATTACTGGTAAGGAAGACCAGTTCTGTCCAGATAAGTCAGTAAGTAAGTAAGCATGGAACTTGTTGTTGAGAACAGTAAGGAAGATGAACAGAGGAGAGACGGGCTTCAAGGACAGGGCCAGTGGGGGGGCTGCCAGTTAGGGTGGGTAGGAATAATGTGATTGGAGACCACAGTGAAGCAATTACTTTCGAATGGTAGGATATGGATTACAGGCGTTTTGGATGACTTTGTTCTGGTCTTGTTTCTGTTATTGTAATTAAGCTTTTACCATAGGGATTTAATATATCCATCTCAGAAATAAGTTCTTTGGAGAGAATATCTGCAGAAAGGAAGAAAGGCTTCTTCACTATAGGGTTTCCAAGTACAACCAACACAGGCTACCCTCTTTTTCATCTTCAAGTGAAGCAAAACTCTGGAAATTGTGGCTATAGCACATGTCTGATATGGGCAACACTGCTTCATGGAACCTTCCCACTCCAAGAAACAGAGGTGGCTGGTCACCACAGGAAAATCTGGTCCAGGCATTTTAAAAGCAGGACTCACATAGGCCTTCCACACTCAGTTGAGAAATTTTCCTGCAGATATAATGACTCTTTCATTCAACTTTTGGCTGACTCCCAGGCAGTTCACTCAAGAATTCAACACATATCCTACAAAATTAAGAAAAGTAAAGGAAGGGGGGGAGGTGTTGGGAAGTATGGGTGAGAATGTTGAAAGGGGTGACATTAATCCAGATGCATTGCATTCACAAACTGTTTTGTTGAATGGAAACTCCTTTGTACAACTATTTAAAAATAATAATTTTTTTAAGAGAAAAAAAGTCACATAGCTGGCTGCTG